GCAGTGGCTGATTCATTTCCAACGATGTGAAGAATTTATTCAATACAAAAAAAGTTAACATTTTTTTTTTACAGATGTCTGAGTGATCAACATAAGACATAGTGCAGTGAACTATGGGTGCTGTAAACTCAACAACATGACAAACACATACAGCACATATCACTTTCATTTTAAATAAAATTGCCTTAATGTTTTCCTGTAAAAACAAAAATAAACAAACAAAAAGTTTTAACTTAAGGCACTTACACCCTTTTTTTATGAATAGAGGCGAATTCGCGCCAGGCGACGCAAATGACGTGAAATGCACGACGCGTTTGCCGCAAACGCACGATATTCGCCTCAATCGCGTAAAATTTCAACTGAGCGGAAAATTCGCATGACGCGTTCTCGCGCAAACCAATCAGCAAAGAGTTTCTTGACACGTCCAGTTGAATCAGACAATAGAAGAGAGCATTATTGCAGCCGTCTGTTATTATATAGGTCAGGAGATAGAAAACAATTAAAATCAGTTGTAGTGGTAGTTGTATTTTATTTTGTTGCATGGCTACAGAGATGCTGCTATCAATAATAAAAATTATAGTAATATCACTGTATACAGTAGTAAAATGTAACACACACATTAATACAGGATCCTAGCATTATTCATCCTCCTCTGGATGGTGCTGTGAACCCAGACACGTCGGCATTTGGCTTTCCATTGTATTTGGGACTTTTTGACAACAGGTAGAAAACAGCGATTGTAGTTATCTCCACCATGGTTGATCGCGCTTGATTCACGCGAGTGACACGAAAAACATCCCGCGAGTAATCTACAGCGAGTGACACGATGCGCATATTCGCTTCGCGTCTGGTGTAAACACACCATTACAACTGTGCAGTGAGTTTTAAACATCATATTGCCTGTTTTTGCTTCATTTCGCCAACAAAAATAATTCCAAACAAAGCCACAGCACTGTTTCGCGTCTCTGAGCAACATGACGGTGTTTCGTTCCTGAATCAACCATGTAAATGATTCGGTTCAATGACAGTGACTCACTTATTATCAGTGACTTGCCGCCACCTCACATTAATACAGGATCCTAACGTTATTGATCCTCCTCTGGATGGTGCTGGGAACCTAGACACGTCGGCGTTTGGCTTTCCATTGTATTTGGGACTTTTTGACAACAGGTGCAAAACAGCGATTGTAGTTATCTCCACCATGGTTGATCGCGCTTGATTCACGCGAGTGACACGAAAAACATCCTGCGAGTGACGCGATGCGCATATTCGCGTCGCGTCTGGTGTGAACACACCATGAGTGGCGTGTAACACACACAAACGCAGGGTTCAGAGAACAATTTTGCCTCAGTGGCCAACCGAGAGAAGTCCCTTTTATGGATCAAGGAATTCAGTAAGGACTCTTCTGACCCTCTTCCCCTCTGCTGTGATGCAGTCACCTCTGAAATAAATCTGTGTGTCTGGCTGGTTGTCTTTGTCATGCTGAACTGCCTCGATGACTGTTCTCGTCCATCGTCTCCTTGGTGGCCTCACAGTAGTTATGGAGCACAAAACAGGCATAGATGACAAAGGGAAGGTCGTTTAGATTAATGTCCATCGCCCTTCTCAATGCTCCAAACCGTGCTTTCTGTCTGCCAAAAGCGCATTCGATGACCATGCTAGCTCGACATAAGGACAGTCCAAAATACTGTTCCTGAACAGTGCTCCCTCCATTTGCTCCTTCATCAGGTAAGGAAGTAAAGCATATGCTGGGTCTGGCCTCCTCGTGTTCTAGAATTATTTTTTTTGAGGAGGGGATCGTGCCATTTTTCAAATGTGTGTTCAGCGTGGAGTTTGCAAAAATACAGGCGTCATGGACACTACCCGGCCATTTCACTACGACATCAATAAATGAATACTTGTAATCACAGGTGGCTTGTATGTTAAGAGAGAATTTCCCCTTTCTGCTCAAGTAATCCATAGCATTTGTAGATGGCTGCCTTATTTCCACATGGGTCGCTTCCACGGCATCTATGCACTGAGGGATGCCATGGGCTCGGTGAAACCCTGCTACAAGTTCCTCTACTTTGGACTCTGTGACAGGTAACTGTATATACACAGGGCCCAAGTGGACTGTAATAGCTTCACACACTTGCCTTACTATTTTCGACACCACCTGTTTTGACAATCCAAAGGCGTTTGCTGTCTTGCGTAATCTCCCCTCATCTGCTAAATAGTACAGTGTGCAGGCAACTTTTTTGACAACACTGACAAGCGATCTCATTACAGTCGTCTTCCCTTCAATGTGTGGGCGAAGCAGCTCACTCAAAGACAACAGCAATGTCCTTGATAAATGAAAATTCTCTCGCCATTCTTCAGCAACAACCACTTCATTCTCAAAGTTGTCCCAACAACTAGAGGTCTTACCGGGTCTTGTCCAAAACCGGCGATGACGGCGGTGAGGTCTGTGTCGTGGGATTGTTGTCATAAGCAGTGACCTGCGTAGTGCTGCATTCTGACACCTCTGTTCCGTAATAAAATGGGATAACTGTGCATGTATCAATATACATGTTATAAGCCCTGTTAGCACAGTTTTTATCAGCAGTATTTTGGCTACGTCCGCCATTGCACAGACGCGCGTCATGTAAACAAAGGAGATTGCAGCGCACAATCTGACGTCAAACAAAGGAAATGACGGTGCGGACAAGTCAAAAACTCCTTTTTGTGACAACTATGACAATACTAAACCCGGAGTTTCTGAAAATCTTCACACTGGCAGGAGTTTTCAAAAATGTTCGGTTTCAGTGACCTGGTGCTGCGTTTGCATGTGGACGAACGGCCAAACCACGTAGAAAAAGCTGCGGTTTTAAAAATAACCGCGTTCGTGTGAGAATCAAAGTGGTGAAAAAATACCTAGATGAAGAAGAGAAAGGAGAATGGAAAGAAACTATGAAGTATTTTTTTTTTTAAATGTGGGGAGGTGAACCCTGGGCACGCCCGATCTCGGAAACTAAGCAGGTCGGGCCTGGTTAGTACTTGGATGGGAGACCGCCTGGGCATGCCAGGTGCTGTAAGCTTTTGGGTTTTCTTCACTACTTATCTAATACACTGGCCTTTATTTATGGTGGCTGATCTTTAAATAGCATCCCTCGCTTAAGGCCATACCACCTGAGGGCGCAATTAAGCTTACCAGGAAGTGTTTGTGTCTGCAAGACAGAGAGAGAGGCTCTCGAGTATTTTTTTGATGGTTTGTTTGTTTAAAAGTTTGTTAAAATCTACAAAAGTACTGAGTTCTTTTTTGTTTTTAACCACTTGCCAACAGCCTTGTGCTGTCTAGGGAGTGGTTTATGTAAAATGAGAGAAATGGATGGATTAATCGGTAAAGACATGGGAATGGCGGCAGACAATGGAAAAGACAACGACCAAGGAAATGGACAACGACTACGAGAACAGATTGAATTAAATAAGACTGAAAACAAGCGGAATTATGCAAAAGAGGCAACAGTAACTGTGGACATGGGAGAAGTCAACAACGGAAAAGCAGAGGATTTAATTAAAGCAGTAGCAGGAAAAGTTGGAGTGAGTAAGATACTTGCAGTAAGACCTAAACAAAATGGACTATATGAAGTGACTTTGACAAATGAGAAACGTGTGATGACATAATGGATGGACTGGAAATTAAAGGTACAAAATGTGAGGTGAAAAAGCTACAGGAGAGGGAGTACGTTGTTTCATTTATGCATCTGCCAGCCTACCTTGAAGACAGCAACATCATGGACATACTAGATGGGTGGGGGTAACCCCTATTTCAAGAATAAGGAGGAGATACTACCCGGGGACGGAAATAGAAGACGGGACGAGGTTTGTACGGGTGAAGTTCCCCAAGGAGGTGGTGTCACTCCCGTATAGTACCAGATTCGAGTGTACGGGAGAGGAAGAAGCAGAAGAGATGGAGGAAGGAGCCAGTACATCAGAGGGGGAACTAGGAAATAAGAGAACTGAACTGATGGAAGTGGAAAGCGGGAAAAGAGACAGTGAATTGGAGGAGGACAATGCTACATGTGAGGGGAGAAAAAGGTAGAAAGCGGAAAAGAAAGGTAAAGGACTCTCCGTAAACTAGCCCTACCCCTAAATCTACCCATCACACAAATTTTTTACATTTTCAGAAATCATTTTGTATGATTTATAAGCTTGTGTCCTCATAGGGACCTAAAAAAATTTCCCTACAAGGCCAAAGTTTACTGGTATTTCTATACCTGTAGGGACATTTGGTCACCATAACGTACGGAATACAAGTACACACATACACAAGTTTACATTTACATTTAGTCATTTGGCAGATGCTTTTATCCAAAGCGACTTACAAATAAGGACAATAAAAGCAGTCAAAACTAACAAAAGAGCAACAATATATAAGTGCAAATGACAAGTCTCGGTTAGCCTAACGCAATGTAGCAAGGTGTATATACGTATTAGCCTAACGCAACGTAGCAAGGTGTATATATATGTATATATATATATATATATATATATGCACACACACACACACATATACACACACACAAAGAAAAACGAGTAGACAGAATAGAAAAAATAGAAAGCTAGTGTTTTTTTTTTGTTTTTTTTAAACTATGTTGTAAGGAAATTAACTCTTTTGAGAGGGGAATCGAATCTGAAGATTCAAAATCAACCCTATTGAACTGATTCCAAATTTGATAGTTTACACTTTATCAACTGTTCGTCCAGCGAGACGTTAACATCAGTATATCTTAACAATTTGGATATTTGTATTATCCCTGGCCACAGTTTAACTTTAAATACACAACACAAGAAAAGAATTATTTATAATGAAACATTAATTTATTTGAACTACTCTATAGATGACATGGTACTACTAATGAAAACACACATACGCGCACACACACAGTTCGAAGGATGAGAGGTAACGGAGTTCTGAGGAAGTCCTAAAAGTCTAGTAAGTTATTCGTTCTTAGATCGCACCAAGAAAATCACAAAAGCAGAGATTTGGCTTATCTTTAGTTGCTTAAGATCAATTCAGCACCAGTTTTCCAGCTAGTAAGGAGAGCTTGTTTTACTTGTGTTTGAGTTGAGAGCTGAGAGGGGTTTTCCTCGTTGGCTAGTCCCAGGGAATCCCGGAGCCTCTGATTGGTTGCCGATCTGTCGTTTGGATGATGTCTTTTTTGGGAGAGCCCTCTTGGTGAATGGGTGTTGCTTGGTTACGGAGGAGCCTTGAAGTTCGTCTGAGAGAGCCTGAGTTTGCAAGACGTTCTGCAAAGTTATGAAGCTTCAACGAAGTGTTTGAGGATGAGGATTAACGGAGTTTGGCTGAAGTCCCAAAAGTCTAGTACATTTTTCGTTCTTGGATCGCACCAAGAAAATCACAAAAGCAGAGATTGGTTTATAGTTACTGCTTAAGATCAATTCAGCACCAGTTTTCCAGCTAGTAAGGAGACCTTGTTTGTTTACTTGCGTTTGAGTTGAGAGGGGATCCCTTTCATGGGAACTTCGAACTGCGTCCTCTAGGGGCCGCTATGGGGAACGCTTTTCAATAAAAATTAAGTAAATAGTGAAAAGTGGAAATAAAACGCCTCAATAATAGTGTTGTGTATGCTTTAGGTAGGTTTTTGTCCCAATAAAGTGGCATTCATCTAATACAATTTATATATACAGTATATGATAATTTACACTCAATATGTTATTGCATACTGTTTTATAATGTACTACAGTATTGAGGTATAAATATCTGCCACCTAACTACTATTTACACTCCTGTTGCTAAAGAAAATGCTGCTATTTTAGTGTAAACAGAATTGATCATTATTTGCACTTAGTGTAACTAGAATATATCGCTTTTTAATATATCGCCACTTAGTGTAACTACCAAAAATATCAATAAAGACAGCTCAGTGTTGATTTAGTTCTGTCCAATATGTAAAGTTAATCAATTATGAAATGAGTTCAATTGGGCAATATAGCATTGTTTACTAGTATGAAGCCTTATTAACAAGCCTTTGTAAAAAGAACAGTTAGCTCATTTGTTTCTAAGGTAACAACCATGACAGCTGTGCTGAATTAATGTTCAGTGTGTCATGTGACAGCACTTAAGCATACTACTCTGAAACATTTATTGCTTATTGTATACTGTTTCACACACTATTCTTTAAAAAAAAATAGGCAGTATGCACTGTGTAATGGGCAGTAAGCAGTAAGCAAGTATGCCATTTCGAACACTTGCTAAAGAAAATGCTATTTTAGTGTAAACAGAATTGATCATTATTTGCACTTAGTGTAACTAGAATATATCGCTTTTTAATATATCGCCACTTAGTGTAACTACCAAAAATATCAATAAAGACAGCTCAGTGTTGATTTAGTTCTGTCCAATATGTAAAGTTAATCAATTATGAAATGAGTTCAATTGGGCAATATAGCATTGTTTACTAGTATGAAGCCTTATTAACAAGCCTTTGTAAAAAGAACAGTTAGCTCATTTGTTTCTAAGGTAACAACCATGACAGCTGTGCTGAATTAATGTTCAGTGTGTCATGTGACAGCACTTAAGCATACTACTCTGAAACATTTATTGCTTATTGTATACTGTTCCACACACTATTCTTTAAAAAAATAGTAGGCAGTATGCACTGTGTACTGGGCAGTAAGCAAGTATGCCATTTCGAACACGGCCAGTGTTTCATGAAGCCTCGCTCTGCCTACCACTACTTTAATCATCAAACATAAAGGAACAAGGAAGAACACAGGAGAAAACCACAGAACAATCAACGAGAACAGAGACTGACAGAAAACACAGGATATTTATACAAGAGCAAACAAAGGGAACTTAACCAGATAATTAACAAGACGCACCTGAATTGAAACTCAAATCAATCTGTTACTATGACAACTAAAGAGTGGCAGGAAAAAATTAACTAAGGAAGACAAAGGAACCAATGAAAATCAAACAGAGAATCCAAAACAAATAGACATGTGACAATGAACGTTGTAACATTTCTAATATGAACAAACAGCACTCTAACAAACACAAAGAAATAATTAAAAAAAAAAACATAAAAAATTAAATAAAAGCAAAAAAGAACAGCAATCCAGCACATATTAAAAGTGATAAGTTTTGGGAGTTTTTTAAGCTACCCCAAATGTTGGAGATTGCACGATACCAGATGTCATAAAATGACAAAACTCTTCATATTCCTGACCAATGGGCAACTTCAATGGTGCATGTGTTTGCTTCTGGGAACATCCACTGGTTGCCATTTAGGTTCTCATGAAGAAATGTGATATTTGGATTCTCCTTGAAAAACAATTTTATTAAGCCTATACCATGCACTCCCGTGGAGTTATTAGCAAAAAACGAATTTGCTTATTACTGCGCCACATTGTGGCTGTTCACCAAATCCAAAGTGCGAAGTGAGAATCAGAGAAATCAAACTCATCAAACCTTGAAAAAAAAATTATATACCTCATTTACATTCAATCCAGACCAGCAAATACTATTATTTTTAGTTTAGTTTTAGAAATTAAATACAATGAACAATATGACCTTATTTACCTTAGGATTAGAGCTAAACTCTGCAGGAACGTGGATCTTGTGGGCCAGATTTGACGATGCCTGTTCTATGCCAATTATCATTTTGGGGAAAATGCTTCATTTATTATTATGGCAATACTTGGATAAAATATTTACATGGTTTCATTTATCAAAGTAGTTTTCCTTCATCATCACTAGAAAAACCTTGGGTTTATCTGCAGTTGCTGTTGTGGGAATATATTTTCAGTCTTTATTCTCCTCATACTGTGTAACAGATAATCATAGTTTTATATGCAAGGCTGATCTACCTCCTATGTTTCTGTTAAGAACTAATACACAAGTACATGGTGCACCCGGGAACTGGGAAGTATGCCGATACATGAGCAGGCAGAGAGGGAGATATAATATATCATTCACCTTAAAGCGGTCATTGGATGCCCATTTTGCACAAGTTGATATGATTCTTTAGGGTCTTAATGAAAAGTCTATAATATACTTTGGTTAAAATTTCTCAATGGTAGTGTAAAACAACACCCTTTTTACCCTGTCAAAAACAGCTCTTTTCACAGCAAGCTGTTTCAGTGCATTTCCCTTTAAGTGTTAATGAGCTCTGCTCACCCCGCCCCTCTCTTCCGTGGGGTGACATGCAGTTCTTTGAGAGACTGTAAACTTTAGCCGCATTCATCGTGAAACTTGCTAACTAGCAAATTATTAGGAAAGGCGATTTGCAAAATTCATTAAAAAAATGTATACTCACTTCTTCTGGAGGTGAGGCTGAAGCACGAATGATTCGCGTGAACATAGATGCAATTAGGCAGATCGGGGGACGCATTCCCTTCAAAAACAAACGTACTCCACTGCATCTTCAGTGGCTCAGATGTCGGGAGTAAATGACAACTGCTATGTTCATTATTACATCCAACAACAGAACACCTCAATCACTTAGGA